CCAAAGAGCTGCAACCCTGAAAGGCACAGTTCCCAATGTGGGTCACTGAATCCGGGATTGTCAAGTTCGCCAAGGAGCTGCAACGACGAAAGGCATCATTCCCAATGTGGGTCACTGAGTCCGGGATGGTCACTTTGGCCAATGTGGTGCAAAACTTAAAAGCTCCTTCACAAATTTCTGTTTCACCATATTGAATTTCGACCACAAGCAACAATTCCAAGTGAACGATGCCACCAAGACCGGCGATTGCATCTTTGTTGGAGCATATCACTTTGTTTGGTTTGAAGACAACGCTCACACCAGTATCTTCAACAATTCCAGCACCCAATACCTTTGCATCGTCGGCCAGCAATTGGTTGTCTCCAACAATGATCTCCACACCCGTAGTGCTGCGAGTGATCTCGTCCCAAGGCTGTCCCTCTTTGATCTGCTGCTTCAGCGCGCGGCCTGTCATCTCTGGCGTGACTTCAAGAACCATGACTTCACCACTCGGCTGCAGCGCCGAAATCTTAGTCGCCATGGCTCAACTATCTTGATGGATGGATTATGATTTTGATTTGAACAGGGTGTTACTCTAATTTGATGTCTGTCTTCCGCTTGCTCGCAGCCTTAGCTTAGCATGTGTGCACTTGGGCAACTGGTTGGCTTCTTCGCAAAACTTAAGGGGTTCGCCTGTTCTTGGACCGGACGTTTGACATTAAACCAATCACAGTCAGATAATTTTCGGAGTGACTAGATGCTACTGGATGTGACAACTTTTGGCAGATCTGATCAGAACAAAGAAAGCCTTCTCCCACTGATTCAGAACACCCAGCCAAACAGATCACCACCGCATTCCAAGAGAATTCTTTTCCAAAAACAGGTCACCACTGCCAGGTCACCACCTCCACCTTTCTGCCACTTTCGGAGACCTGGTGTAGTCGGGTGCTGGAACACACCCATGGGGTCCAACCTCCAGAGACTGGTCTCTGCACCATCTGGGACCATCCGATTCGGGTCCTGCGACCCCTAAGGCTATACCCTAGAAGTCCAAAGACTATATTTTGACCGGCTGAAGTAAAGGAAGTTCCCTTTCAGGTCCCCTAAAGACCATTCTTTTTATAGTCTTTGACTCCCAGGGTATATAGGTATATATGTCATACCAAGAGAGGTGGAACGTGACCAGGTCACTAGGACCTTACTGGGGTACCGAACTGGGATAGGCGAACGTGACCGGGTCCTGACCCACCTCTGTTGGTATGATCACGACAAACAGGGACGCTGCCTGACCGAAGGCCTCTTAGTGATCTGCGGTGTAACGACCGACGGCATCCCGGAGCCCGTGAGACGGCGACTTGGCCGGCAGACTTCGGAGACTTGGCGATGGAGAGGGTTGGTGCTTTGACCCTAGGCTTCCAAGACCATTTAGAAAATGGGAACGACCTGGTTTTTGTAGTGTAAAATCCTTAGTTGATTCGGTAGTTGGCCTATTAAATTAATGGTTGTTGGAAGCCTAGGTCACTTGAACCATACCAGGACCCGACACCGTGGGGGTCTCTATTGATATCCTCTTAGTCGTGATTCGGGGTGTCCATGAAAAAAAAACCGGACTTGGAAGGCCCTGGATGGCCCTGGCCAGATCTGATCGATTGCCAACTAAAGGTTGATCAGAACTCACATGTCTGTGTGTGAAACGATCTGCTTCCGGTCTCTGCGCTGAGACGTGGGGGAATCCGTGGGGGAATCCCAAAGTAAAAGAATTAGATCAGGACAATGCACCCCCAGTGGATCCTAGGCAAACCGCAAACCACGTGCTATCAGGAACCAGAGGCCCAGTGACATCGTCTATGGCTTCGCTTTAGTCTGGTCACCAGCGATATCGTGGGAACTACCTGGATGCCCATGGTACAATTGCACGTAGATTCCACTAACCAGGAAGACGACATGAACACACCATGTATACATTGACCCCTGAAGCCATCCTGTAGGATGCCATACATGGAGTCTGGGTACTGAAACCCACAGCCCATCTTTTGCGCTACAAGTTACGTAGATTTGGCTACAGCCCCGGACACGTTGGTCTCAGCCTCTGCGCTGCAAAGCTGCAACCTGCGTTTAGGCATGTAATCCTGACTGTCAATGTGCATCACCGAGTCCGGGATGGTCCGTCAAGTTTGCCAAAGAATTGCAATTCTCAAAGGCACCATGCCCAATGTAGGCGACTGAGTCCGGGATGGTCAAATTTGCCAAAGAGCTGCATTCTTCAAAGGCGAAGTTCCCAATGTGTGCCACGGAGTCCGGGATGGTTACGCTTGCCAAAGAGCTGCAACCCCGAAAGGCAAGGTCCCCAATGTGGATCACTGAATCTGCGATTGACAAGTTCACCAACG